TAGAACTTTATTTTGAACCTAAAAATGAATACTTGTAACATATTTCTTGCAAATCAAATTGAACTGAATTTCAAATAATTTGTTATTTTATTATTTCAATTTATTATTTTCTTTAGCATTTTGTTTAAAAATGATTATTCTACAATAAAAACTGTGTTAATTAATCAGATATGTGAAATAATAACAAATACATTTATCTTTATACATTTATCTTCGTTTATCTTGCAGAGTTCTCTTACGAATCGATATGTCACATCAAATTTTCTGACCCTGGCAACTCGGACGTGAAAAACAGGTGATAAATCCAAAATCGATGTCACATTCATGTTAAATTCATGTGAGAAATTTGCAAGAAATATGTTACAAGCATTCATTTTTAGATTCAAAATAATGTTCTAAAGATGAATTCCAGATTTTAAATATAGAAAAAAAATTGTATAAGATTCTTCATTTTATCACTCAAGAAAGTATGCGTATACTAGTTTTCTCAACCATTTTAAAAATACTCTGTATGTACTGTGTACACAGTAAAACTTATTCAGAAAATATTGTAAAATAACGATGGCAAATTAAAAAAATAAATAAAAATAAAAATGTAAAATAAGCAATCAAATTTTTATCACAACTAAAAATCATCATTCATATGTTATTATTGATAAGGTGTGTAATGGTTGTCTATTACAGGTATGGCCTACAGGTCAATCATGACATGTGTTCTAGTCAACCACGACTCACTTCCATTTTTATTACGAATTCTTCAAAAAAGAATTAAAATATTTTTTTGTTCTTTGTAAATATTTTATGATAAATAGAATAAATAAAGGAAGTGTAACATATATGCATATAAAATATATTTTTGGTCGATTGTGACAACCTAGAAAAACTCAGAAGTCCATCAAAAGTCTTTAAAGGTTAAGCACCCCTGGTCTATTATACAGTATTTACTGAATTAGTTTTTCAACTTATACTTTACACTTATACTTCATATACCTAGATAAAAATAAAATAAGACACAAGTATTCAAATACTGCTATTTATTTCTTAATTGGTTGTCATTTTTTTTTAAGTAAAATAAAAACAAAAACAAAATATATATTAATAAATTATTGTCATATTTCTTATTTTATCTAACATCATTCGTCTAGTCATTACGCAACATTTATTTACATTTATTTCAATCCCAATGATTTCCAAAAAATATTCGAGGTGAAACTTAATATAAATTACAATTTATGTTGCGATTCAGCACGTTTCGTGCATTTTTTCGGTGATAATTTTATGCAAAGCTTACGAAAAAAAAATTAACCCTGCGATACAATTGCTATTGCTATACCCACGAAGAAATGATGAATTGCGTCCTTATATAAGAAAAATTATTGTATATCAAATATTATATTAAAATATGTTTCGTTCGAATAACCTAGATGTGCACCGTAAGCTAGATGTATCAAACTTTTGCCGATTTCAAATTATATTTACAATCCATTGTATTTCTTAAGGATAACCGAAAGATATGATTGAAGACGCACACGGTCTTGTACCATGCAATGTTTGTTATAACAATATAGTTAGCATTGCCATTTTAATAATGTTATTTGTTGTACTCAAAGATATTCAAATTTATGTACAGTAAAACCTGTCTTATGCGGAATTGCACGGGACCAATAAAAATTTCCGTTTTAGGCAGGTTTCCTTATAACTGAATATAACGGAAAATTCCGTACTATACAGTTACGATATACTGCACGATTAAAGTTGTAACATTTTCCGGTCAATAATAAAAATAAAAATATTAAAAAAGTAAATAATTATAATAACAAGTATATTAATTAAATATTTCAAAATAATGATAAATTAAAATTTTAAAAACATTTAGTAGGTACTAATAAAATAATATAATATAATAAAATAAAATAGGTATTAATAAAATAATATATGTAATATAATAAAAAAAAGTAGGTCGGTTATAATACAATTATAAATTCCAAAACTCGTGTAATGTTTTTTGTCTGGTTTTTTCTGTAGTGCTGTAATGCTTTTTTCAACTTTTATTTTTGCCCACGATATCGTTTCCAATTACTCACTATCATATTTATTAATTGAAAATTGTTCCAAACTCTTGATGTAAATAATTGCTTCCTTGTATGTTTTCAATTGGTTTTCTTCATCATTTTTTTCATTGTTTCCTTCATTACCTTCATCTTCAGAATCTGATTGATTTGTTGATTGATCGTCAATTAAAACATTTATGTCGTCATCATCCATGTATACATTATTGTCTAAATTTATAAAATCATTAACGCTTTGTGAATTACACATAGAAGTACATAACTGCTGTACGTCTTCATATTCTTCATTATCGTCTTGCTTATCGTCTATTTCATTTTCATAAAACCCAGCCTTTGCAAAACATGATTTAATTGTTTGTGGTTTTAATTTATTGACTCCCTCTTATAATCTCCCACTTAAATGCGCTAAATCTCCCACTCTCCTTCACCAATTATATCTTTCGTCTTTTTTCTCATAGAACTTTACATTTTCTCTCCCCCTTTGGTGCTACCAATACACGTACGACTTCAACCGGTCTTACACAAGGCAGCTGTCTGAGCCCAATTCTTTTTAATATTTACATGTGTTTTATTGCTAATCGTCTTATTTCTCCTGGTCACAGTTGTCTTATGTATGCTGATGATATAGTTATTTACTCCCACAATAGACAAATCAACTTTGCAATCGCCTCCCTTAACGACGCATTATATTCTTTACACAATGTTCTATCTTCTTCCTTCTTCTCAATAGCTCCCGAAAAATGCAAGTCCTTAATTTTCTCCAGACGACACTACCATCAGTTTGATGCCACAACAATAGATGGTTACACAATCCCCTACGCTCCAAACTATACATACTTAGGTCTAAATATGGACCCTAAGCTTCGATGGCCTCACCTTCACGACTTAACTATATTTGCAACCCGCTGGTCTAACTTTCTAAGATCCGTGGCCAATACATGGTAGGGTTCCCACCCCTCTACCTTAATACGTATTTACCAATCCGTCATACGCGCCAAGTTTGATTACTGTTGTTTCTTTTCTGGATCTTCTGCCCTCGCTCACCTTAATAAACTTAATAGATTACAAATCTCTTGTCTTAGATCCATTATAGGTGCCCTAAGATCCACTCCTTCTCCCGCTATTGAAGTCGAAACATCTTGCCAACCACTCCATATAAGAACCAAATGGCTTGCCGGCAAATTCTTACTCAAACAGTTAGCAAACAAAGAACCCTATATCTTCAATACCTTCCTTGAGGTCTATTACTTTTGGCGATATGTCCAAAAGACACTTCCAGTTCTCGCCTTAATAGCGCATTCTCTTGCAGACACACGCAATTATATTATCCAAACTAACAAATTTCCATTATATGAAACTAATTTCCAATCCTTACTTTTTTCCCCTATCACTCATCAAAATAAAATCTTTCTAAATCACTCGCGAATCTTTCTGATTTCCGCACCACCCAATTATGTGAACAATATCTTTCTCGATTTCATTCATAACACCTTTCCGCTCTTCATCCTAATTTTCACAGACGGTTCTGTCTCTCCCCTATCAGCTGGATATTCCTTTTACATCCCGGAGTTCCACATTTCCTTCTCTAACAATCTACCTCCCACGGCATCTTCTTTCACAGCTGAATGTTTCGCTATTATTGAAACACTCAACGCAATCTCATCCTTACCTTCAAACAAATATCTCATCGCCACTGACTCTCTATCCTGTCTTCAAGCCCTCTCCTCTAACGTTTTCAAATCACATCTCTCTCCTCTCATAATCACTATCAGACATTTTTTATTTTCCCTTACAGAATCTGGCTCGGACATTCAATTTATATGGGTACCAGGCCATACTGGAATTGCGGGAAACGAATTCGTTGACAAGCTAGCTAAATCTTCTGCTTTCCTCAGATGCCCTCCAAGTACGAAAATTCCATGGTCTGATTTTATCCCTATCCTTAGGTCTTGTACTTCTAATCTTTGGCTTAGATACTGGGTCTCACTCCCTCCTTACTTCGCCACCTGGTACAGAAAGATATCTCCAACCATTCCAACACTACCATGGTTTCATAACATCGATCTTTCTCGAAAATGCATAACATCGTTCTCTCGCCTCCGGTTTGGTCATACACGACTTCCTTCTCATTCCTTTAAACTGTCATTGAACGATTCCCCTCTCTGTACACTACACAATGACCCTATGGTCTGTAATATTAATCATCTACTCTTCATCTGTCACAGCTTATCAACACATCGTGACCACCTATTATCTATTTTGAATACCTCCAACATCACTTTCGACCTTATAAGTATACTTTCAAACCAACAAAAAAACATCATAATAAATATAATATCTTTCTTTAACCATTCAGGCTTTTTAATCTAATCTTATACTGTACTGTTTCTACGGTAATTGTAACTGTAAACTGTAATTGTATTTTGTAATTTGTAATTGTATTTTGTAATTTGTAATTGTATTTTTAATTTGTAATTGTTGAAACTAATTGTACCCACGAAGTTTAAATAAAAAAAAAAAAAATTATTGACAGCTACATTTAACCATTGAATAATTTAGATAGTACTGATATTTTATCGACATTAGCAATAAATGATTGTATCAGAAGTCGGCGATAATACAACTTAACATAGTAAATAATACCTTGATCCATAAGCTGTGTAATCGAAGTTGTATTGGGAGAGAACCAAGCTAATTTAATGTTTGATAAATCGAGTTTTGGATGACATGCAGCATTATCCAAAAAAATAATGATATGTTTATTTTTTTTTAACATTTTACTGTTAAATTTTATTAACCAATCTTCCATAATACTCCAGTTATCCAAGCCTTTTTGTTAGAGTACCATGAAACTGGCAATTTTTCTACATCAATATTTTTGAAACATCGAGGCTTTGCTGCTTTTCTTATTACTAATGGTTTTTCCATTTCACCGGCCATATTTCCACAAAGAAGAACAGTTATTCTTTCTTTTGAAAGTTTACCACCTTTACATTGTTCCCCTTTTAATTTCAATGTTTTTGAAGGAATAGCGCTAAAAAATAAACCTGTTTCATCGCAGTTATAGATACAATCACTATTATAATCTTTTATCAGCTCACCTATTTTTGATTTCCATTTATTTACTTCGTCAACATTGACATCATTAGATTCTCCACATACTTGATTCCATGAAATATTATGTCTTTTTCTAAAACATTCCAACCAACCGTTGGAACCTTTAAGATCGGTGTTCCCCAATTTAATCGCGATGTCCTTGGATTTTTCCTGAAGCATTGGACCACTAATTGGAATGTTCTTAGATCTAGCTTTAACAAACCAATTCCAAACTGCTTTGTTAATTTCATCATTAACAGTCTTCTTTAAACTTCGTTTGCTTTTCCCATTTCCTAATAAGATTAATGAATATGACTTACCTTTTAACCATTCTTCTCTAATTTTAATTTTGTTTTTAATTATGTTATAAATTTGCGTTTTCCTGCATTTAAAAGTATTCATTAATGATTTAACACTATTTCCTTTTTCACTTTCTTCGATTACTTTTATTTTTTCATTTAAACTTAAACAAATTTTAGTCATTGTGAGAACAAGTAGGTACGACGATACGAAACGACAGGTGATCTTCGACTACGCCACTACGGTGACAATAATAAGCGCTAATTTATAGAATCAAGATACAATTTAGTTATCTATCAATACGTATTAACCGCTGACCTTAATAATTGTTTAGTAGCAAAATAAATGTGGGCATCAAAAATATTTTTGTTCATTTTATGATATGTTTTTTCATTTGTTAAAGGTTTATATGATTTACGGGACCAAAAAATAGCTTCCCGTTTCACGTTAAACAGGTTCCGTTTTATCAAGGGTTTAATCCTATGTTAAACTATAGAAATCTGCCGGGACCATAAAAAATTTCCGCACAGAACAGGATTCCGTCTTATCAAGGGTTCGCATAAGACAGGTTTTACTGTATGCATTTAACCTCGTAGAAAAAAAGGCAGAAAAATAAAACATCATGTAAAATGTAAATCTGCCGTCTATCTACAAAAAATAATAAAATACGAATATCAAAATTTACGTTATAACTTTTAACAAATATATCCATTATATTTTCACCCGTGCGTAAACGAATTGAACTAAAAATAATTTACACAAACAATTCGGTGATCATAAGCTATGGTTGGAAATTACAAACAATAGAATAATCCAAAATTTATTTGGGTATAGTCAACATCCTCGTGATTGTTCCTCGGGTAACGATAATGTACTGTTTAACTGAAGTTCACATTGAAATTGAACATTTATAATTTATTTGTTCGGGACACAGTTAATTAACATCGGAATGGATATTCAATATTTAGAATTGTTGGAAATCCTAAATTCGTAATTGCATACGTTAAAACGGAATGACAAAAGTCTTTAATTAAATTAAATTTAATGTACGGTTTGTGCATGTACAGGTAGTCATTGGCGAACACCGTCCGTGATGAACATTTCATTCAACTGTTAAGTTTCCCAACTCACTGAATTCATTGTAAGCCCTATGTTTTTAATACCTGACAGATATCTGATGCGGCATAATACTTCTCCAGCGTCTGGTGATGTGATAAAGTGTCATCGTGTATGGACGGCTGACTTTTCAACGTTTTGGACGACGACCGGTGAATGTGCGGTATTGCGTATTCCTCTTGAGTGACGATATCTCGTACATCTGAAATATGTTTTACGGCTAAAATGACTAATCGAATAATGACATTACTTTCGTTTTTCGTTTTAACCACTTTATCGAAAACATTAAGTACGGAAATAAAAATATTTTACATTGTTTTTAGGGAAAAGTGTTTTAATTAAATGATAAAATGCAGAATGCGTTTTCAGTTTGCAAAATGACTTTTCTATTCCTTATATCGACACGTAATAATGTTAACTTTAAATATTTTCTAAAATAATTTTCGTACTGAATTTAATTTTATTTCAATCAGTATTTATAAAAATGATTGTTGGATATTCAAAGGTTCAGAAACTACTGGACTCGCACTCCATGTTGAAGGTCCAAAACCATTGAAATCCTTCGGTAGCTTCTTAAACACCCCCAAAAATGTTTTAGTAATTTTTGGTATATTTGTCACATGAACAAAAAAACTAAAAATAGTTTTTAATGATAATTATAGTTATTTTGTTGGCACGTGTTATGTTCCGTTAGGTTGCATAAAATAATATAATGAAATCCAGCAATAGCAATGCCAGTATATAAGCACACACTTTGAGAACAATGAATTGAAAATGATAGTAATTACAGTACGGAAATGTGACTGATTGCGAAAATAATTGAAAATATAACTCTCGATATGGGAATGACAGTTAATTAATTAATTTAATAAACGAATACTGTTGTTATTGAAATGAAATTTCTTCGGAGCGTTTTCTTATTAAATTATTTGTAATAAATGTCAAATTAAAATATAATAAATATACTTTGTATTTATTTAATCGTTCCTATATCAAGCCATAGCATATAAAGACCTAGTGCTATTGATATTAGTAAAGTTTTTGATGAAATGACCAGGCTTAGGTAAAATACTTTTTATTAGTACTTTGAATAAAATAAACTCGAATACTTATAATTTTAGTATTCAGAATACGTACTCCAAGTATCAAATATTTACAAAAAACGATATTCATTAAGTATTTTAAATACTGCAAAATTAGTATTCTGGGTATTTTAAATATTCATTACTTAATCAAACATAAATAGTAATCAATAGCATGTGCACGTAGTGTGTATAGGTCAACTGAATCGATATTAATGGTCATTCAATTTAGTTACATCATTGTAATTGGTTTTTTTCGAATTAAAACGACGTATATTCATCAATAAGATTAAGTGTAAGTTAAAAAAATTAATCACTTATTTTGATTCGGTAAATGCATTAATTTTGTATAGAAAAAATAAAAACTAGATAAATAAAAATTACTTAAATTTTCTTTTAAAATAAAACAATTAAAAAAAAAAAAATTTTTTGAATTATTACATTTTTGTTATTTGAGCAACCCAAATGGTGTAAAAGCTTAACTTAATTAAGATGTATTTTATTTAAGATTTGATTTTTATATAAATAAAAAAAAAAAAAAAAAAAAAGGAAATTAGTCAAAAATATGATTGTAAATCCTCATGATTAATGTGCTAAGATAATACTTTTCTGTATATTATTATGTTATGGTTACCTCATGGTTCGCGAAAATAATAAAAAGAAACTGTATATTAAAGGTATTTATTTAATGTTCCGACAGAACTAAATTATGTTTTATGTAGCTTCAAATTGTGATATAATATTTTAAAATATAAAAAAAAAAAAACTTATAAAAAATAAAATAAAACACATATTGTCTATAGCATTTATTTATTATTTGTTTTATTTATTTCATTTGTTGATTTTAATTATTATTAAATTTTTATTGAATTTTATAATACATTTTATATAAAGAAAGATTTATAATATAGACTTTTTTCTCATACAAATTTTTATTATTTTATTTTTTTATTATAGAAATTATAACATTAAATTACAAGATTTCAATCAATATTATTATTATGTAATTATTATTGAGTAAAAAATTACACGTTTACTGTGCATTATAATTATAGTGTCCGTAGTCTTTATTTTGAAGTCGAATTGGAAAATGAAATTAATTATGCATTTAATTAAAGTGAAGTTATTCGGTGTGAGAGAGTTTGGTATGAAGAGAGGAAAAATTGTTTTTAATGTTGTATATTATATTAGAGAGCTGGACAGTTAATAATAAGTGACGAAAATCGCAACGTTTACTGCTATAGTTAGCGAGGGAACATGATGTAATAATGGTCAGTTCTAACATGTGCGCATGTATCGGCAGTAAATTATGGCCATTCGCAGCCTGGAGTAATACTTTTTTTTTGAATGGCTTACATTAACTTTCTAAGATCATGGGGAGATTTCTTTAAATGTAGAGGTGGATGAAACTGAAGGGTTATACCATTTAAGCTTCAATAACTTATGGATGGATTGACGAAGAAGAGAAATAAGATATGTGTAAGGACATACACCAGAATCAGACAGATTACCGTTATTAGCCGTGTTAGCCAGAAAGTCAAGTCGTTCATTTCCAGAAATTCCAGTACGATCTGGAATCCAAATGTAGGATACTGAAGTGGAACTGGATTCTTGAGGCAGAAGTATTGGAAAATATTTGTAGTAGAGTAGGTTGCTATATATGGATTATAGACTAGCTTGAGAGTCCGATATATTTAAGTAATTTTAAGAAGAAAGAGATTTGACACAAGGGAAAGCCTCTAGAATAGCCCAGCATTCAGATATAAAAAAAGAAACAGAGAGAAAGATAAACAGCCGGTCATAATTTAAGTTGTGTGATACAAAATGCATAATCAATTATTGATGTTCTGACCGATCCATCGGCATATTAACTACATATAACAAAATATTTATTATGTAAAGATATATTATAATTGGTTAAAATTTAACTAAATTTATTTATAATTCATTTGAAATAACATGAAATTAATACTCAAAGTTCATTAAAAACAAACACATTTTAAATTTATTAAAAAAAATTATCAAGTTTAATTTTAGTTGTAACTTATCCATGCTTAACAACTGATAAAATTATTTAAAATATAATATTATGCTATAGTTTTAAGAATAATTCTAGAAGAAGTATTAAAAATTATAATTGAAAGTATTTTGAAAACTGTCTATGAATGAAAATAAATATATCGTCGTAATGGAAATATTATATTAACGCATAAACATATTATTCTATTATACAATATATATATATAAATATAAGTGAAAACTTCTTGAAACGATAAATTTGAAAAATGTTATTAGAATCTTAAATGTGTGTTTTTGATGGATGGGGAAGGAGAAAATTCACAGAAGCTTCTAAGATGTCTGATGCACAATATTCATTTTTTTTTTTTTTTTTTACTTCAGCTGAAAAATGTGTGCATAACAACTTTAATGAAATTTCTTTCGCCTCATATCCCATCGCATGCCTGCCATCCACCTAATTGCGACACATTTCCACGCAGACTATATAAACGGAGACAAAAAAAAAAAAAAAAAAAAAAATAATAATAAAATTACATCGTTTTTACTGACGTTGGGGTGGTGCTGGTGCAATATCAATAGCATCAAAATCGTACTTGTGTCACGCGGGACGTAGTGTTGTCATTTAGTGAGGAAAAATAGTCACTTTTATAATATTCAGTTGTATACGTAATTGAATATTTTTTTCAACGTAAAAATAAATATTTTTTTTGCCAATTTCTGTGTTTTTGAAATTATACTTACACTGTTTGAATTAATTTCATAATTAGAAAGTGCATTTGAATATTATACCTATTTATTATTTTTTAAATAAATAATAAACTGTTTATTTTGATTAATAACGGTTAGTAATTGAGAATATACTATAAAATATAGGTGCACAACTGTACATGTTTAAACTACAATCAATTGTAAAGTATAGCGAATCTGATATCAAACGTCTGTCGATACGCAGATATTTAAAACACGGGCGGTTTGTTATTCGCAAAAATATTTGGTTTCTAACAGCGGTCCTCAAACTATTTTTTTTCAAGTACCACTAATGCATATCATAGATCAACCATTGAAAGTCTATCGCACGCCACCATTTAAGAGCCGTTGGCTTAGTAGATGCGAGTAGAATAAACTTTTTTTTTGTAGGTATTAATTTAAAATCGAATAGTTTCAGGTGGTAAATGTGCAGTGGAAAAATAATTCCTGCATATTCAAGAATATAAATTCCGGAGGCGGTGAATAACGTTACAGTATGTACAGTAATAATAATAATAATAATATACATTTGTGTGGATCGTATTGAAACCGAAATACATAGAAAAAAACCCGATAACGGAAACGCTGATTTGGTGCGTGTGGAGGGCGTATTTGCCAATTTTTTTGGAAACGGACCAAAATGGTTTTGCACGTTTTTATTTCGCTCTTGGGTAACATTACAATACTACACATAATATACGTATGCATTTTAAAACATCTATATGTAATAACTAGTGTTCGTTGGGTATGAACATTTTCTCGGTGTGCCGAAAAAGTTGATATTCAGAAAATGTAAACACTCGACAGTTTAATTTTGCCGAGGTGTTTGTATACGATATTTTTTTTTTTTTTTTTTTTTTTTTTTTTTGTAATTAAAAATGGAATTTACACGGAAAAAAAAAGAAAAAAGACACAAGATGTATTGCACGATTGTAGCTATTGTGAAGAATAAATTATATTAAGTGGAAACGTGTGCATAAAATATTTTACCTGTGGGTATATAATGTAGTATTCATGTCCAGTGCAGTAGTTCTTTTAAAAATGATTTTTATTGGCACTCCCATCTTTAGATCAATAAAACAAAACCAGAGTTTTTGATTGCGCATCATTGGTATCGACCACCATATGATTTGAAAGCATGTCATATTATTTTTTTGGGACGCAACGAGGGTATATTAGTTCTCCCGTTTTTATATTTTGGAATTCAAAAATTGCTATCAGTATAAGTTGGTTAGGTTAGCTTGTGTTCTTACACGTCTTTGCGAGTCACGGATCTTTTCCCATAGAGGATTGCTAGAGCTCTTCGAACGAAATTGACATTTGTACGGGGCCGTTTGCTTTTATTCGTGCAGAAAAATTTTGAACTTTACGGTTCCTCAGCGAACCAGATATGAAATCGATAACATTACACGTACCCGTGTATAACGCGAAATCGAACAGGAAAAGAAACGACTCAATGCGTATTTCGCAAGACTTATTGTTTGCACATTATGCACCATATAGATATATTGATGCGAAGTCAAAGTTTTGCCGATTTCTGGAGGGGGGGGGACCGTTTGTGTCGCAGGTCGTTAATCGATTTTTTTTTTATTTGACTTTAATTTTAAACGTAACCATTTCATCGTCGACATGATAGTACATCTGGCCACAAACGTCGTCGGAATAAGCGCGATGGCACGTTTGTGCAGCCTAGTACAGCGGTGACGCGCAACAGAACCGTAGGATGAAACGTGCGGTGCCTGGGAAAAAAAGCTCGCGCACGGCACCTCCATCGACCCTTCCGCCGAGAAGGACGCGCACACTTACCCGTGTAATCGGGGCTCAGGAGCACCGAAGGTCTGCGCGCAACCCCGTACGGCCTGTGGTAATTGCTGTTGCTCTTGTCCGAGTCTTCGTCCAAGTCCACTTGACCGTACACGTGCCCGTTGGCGTTCACCCGGACCGGTAGCTCCTGCGAACACACGAACGAAAACACGCGTGAGATTAATATAAACGATCCGCTCGTTGCTGCACGCGGTGAAACGTTACGCAGCGGTATTTCGAGCGACCGGGAGGAAAACAATTCGCCCCCTTCCCTTGAATCCGTATTTAACGAATTGATTATATGTGAGATACACATTTCAAATTTTTTTAATGTAGATCATTTTATAACGAAATCAAACTACGTGTGTGAATACTGAATTGAGCTTTTTTTCGGGTTCATACTTAGTGAAAACCAAATAAAACATTAGCGTAACTTTCAAAACACAGACAGGTGTTAAAAAAGAAATACACAAAAGTCGATTATAAGTGGATCCAGCATTAGATTATAAAAAAAAAAAAAAATCACAAATATTAAGGACTTACCTGAGTTAGATACAACCAAAATTCTTAATTGTAAATTTTGAGCCTGAATTAAAAAAAAAAATCGAGCTACCCTTCCTCCTCAAAAGAAAGTCTAAATTCACCTATCACCGCGATTGTTGCGAGATACGACCAACGGTTTACGGCAATAGAAATTATAATCAAATACGTCCGAATCGTCATTGGAAATTTAGTGCATTCGTAGATATTGCGTACCGATATGTTGGTGTCGATATCAAAAAAGAGTTACCGTTTTATTGTTACATTTAATAACGTTTTCAGCATATTTTCATGGATTTCGCTACCCCATTAAAAATGTCGGTTTGGCGGTCGATGTTTTCACCCTATATGGTCTCATTTGTATTTAATTTTTATTATATGCGTATATACATATGTGTAACGCGAATACTATTCAAAAGGTATACCCTCCCTTGTGTATCCATTATGCATCGAATACACATTTTAAAATTGTTTTTTTTTTTTTTTGTGAGCTGCACGGACGAAGTGTCGATTAATACCACGGGTTTGGATTTAATTTCATCCAATTAAAATGAGGCAATCCGGATAACGGTGGTGAGTTTAAAATTCGTTCGTATAAATTAATTTTATCGAATCGGCACGTAAAGTGATTACTTAATTTTAAATTAATTCTCGCACAAATACTGTTTGCGCGCATTATTTCGTTCGTAAATCTATTCACAAGTAAATATTAGTAATATTATAATACAGTAAACTCTCGTAGTGGTAAAACCAAGCGGGTGTTGTTGAAGAAATGTGAAAATGAATAACACGTATATTGTACATATAAATATTGTATTATTTTTATATTAACTAATGCAAGGCATTTATTTTCAGTGTTTCATTGGAAACGTAAGACATATTTAAATCGATTATTTATAATAAGTGATAAGTCGCAATATTTTGAAAATTACTCTTTTTTAATAAATATGTCCTGAGTGTAAATGGATAGTTTACTTTTGAAAGAAGTCGACTTTGTATGATACTTATTTTAATATAGCAATTTAAACATTTAGTTTATGAACAGTGCCTAACCTAGTACCGTAGTTGACCCTATTCATAAATAAATACAAATTTTTCTGATCAAACTGTTTTGATAATAACGGTTGTTAATTTCCTGCGAATACAGTTGTTTGTGATAATTAAACATTAACAATGATAATACGATTGGTATTAATATTGTTGTTATTTTAATACTGATAATATAGGTAAACGATTATTAAATTCATATTTTTATATTTGTAATTTATAAATTTATAGTACAACAATATTACTTATTAGTAGTGTTGAAATAATTATGTAAAAACCATCAACATGGAGTCAGATAGTGCATTTAGTGATGTTGAAGTAATGTAGAAAAGAAAACTTGGCATTCATAATACAGACTTATAAAGACGTCTATAGACGTATAAAGTAAATGAAATTTATTTTATTAAAGTTTTTCGTGTAAAAGGCATAGAATATACAAATTATCGTGGAAAATATGGTAAAAGAAAGAGAATTAGAACCACCTTGCAGGTAATTAAAAAATCACTTGAAATATTATTAAAACATCGTGTTATGAAGGTATCGAATACAATTTTTTTTTATAGTTCTGCAAAAAAAAAAAAAAAAATGCTTTCAAAAGTTTACCAGTGATGAACAAAACTTCAATTTAACGAAGTTCAAGATGTTTTTCTTATGGGTCAGATTGAAGCTTTTTACATATATTAAAGAAAGCCAAGTAAAAATAATGGTGCTAAAAGAAGTAGCAGTTACAAGTATCTTTTTTTGAAACAAGAACTGAGGATCCTGGTATGTAAAAGTACTTCCATAAGTACTGTTATTCGAAAAAACTTAACTCGTATTCAGTAATTTTTATTGATAGGATAGACTCCCTTAGGAAAAAAAGGAAAACAATAATCAAAAACAAATTGGTATTAGTGTTATTTAGCAAGTTAAAGACTCCATTGAATCATTTTCAGTGAAAAAATGTCATTATTCACCTCAAGAAATACAATATCTGGATGCTAAGTTAAATATTAAGATAATGTTTTATATATTTATAGCAAAGTCTGCTCTGACTGAAATAAAATATAAATTTTTTTCAAAATATTTAAAGATCATTTTAATTTCAAGTTTGGTCGACCTCAAGTAGATACGTGTTGCGATTGTGAGGAATTAGAAGTAAAATTGAGAAGTCCAAGCTTAAATTATACTGCAAAATGTGTTGTAGCTGCTGAGCTTTTGGTTAAATTGATATTCATAAATTTAAATAAGTAGAGTACATAAAAATTTTATTTATTTTTTATCATTTTTTCCATGCAAAATTGTATGAGAAAAATAGTTATTTTTAATTTCCCGAAAGTTTCACTTTTAGGAATTGGTCCCTTTCACATAAACAATCGATTCATTTTTTCCCTTGATAGAACCTTCTACCTATAATATATAAATATATACACGATTATCTTAATCTATACTTTGGAGTGTAAGACATTCTGTAATAAAATGCTAATATCTCATAACGTTGAATTTTTATTTATTGCAAGATTCAGAACAACCTTTGCATCACTTGACGTTTACTACTCGTATTCATTTTTCACGATAAATTATGTTTTACATGAATAATATTGTATCAATTTTTAATTAATTTCCAGTTTGGTTTTGTATGATGACTTTTACAATGGCTGTAAGACTACAGTATAATTGAAGCCTAGAATTCGGAAACGTCAGACATTTTGTCAGAAACTGTTTTATGTTTTAAAAGTAATGTTTTTATAAATATAATAAATGTAATTGTACTTTTTCATTGTTATTTTTGCCGTTGCACTTTGATTTTTCGTTCCAAATGTTTCATTTTATCGTACATATATTATTTGCAAAATATTTTATTGCTATACGGTTATTTACGTGATGAGAAAATAAAATGACGTAAACATTTGTTTTCGGCTATTGCAAGAAGTACAATTCAAATTTTATTTTATAACGGTTTTTGTGTGTTCATCCGGAACGAATATTATTAAAACGACGTATTTGACAGATATCTGTTTACGACGCGGCATACCGAAACGCAGTGAAAAGTCAACATTGTTATTTGAAATTCTCAAGTATTTTCTACGTTGATCCGACTTTGATTCTCATCTCGAGACCTCGAATCTGACCGTACATGCAGCGATCATCCATAAGCCTCGTCTGCCCACTCTCTTAACTTTCCGAAATAAATCCTCCTCTTACCTACTACATTTGTAACCACTATTGTAATATTTCATTCTGATATTTACAACGATGTTAGTTTACCGGGTTCAAATTTCTGCGCTCTGTCTACGGTGTAGTTGCCGATATTTTAATGTCGTTTTAGGCGACTAAATTGTTCATTAAAGTCAGGGACCAGAACCGTAACCGAAAAGAACCGGTACTAGAACCGGTTAACCTTTAAAATTTAGGAACCGTAACTGAAACTGGAACCTTAATTTCAAAAAATGAAAAACCGTAACCGTAACCGTAACCTTAATTATAAAAGGGTTAATTTAATTTAGGTCAGTTATTTAGACTAGTAAAACTATGGTAATGACTATTTTGTTTGTCCATTTGTCGGTTCAGAAAAATAAAAACTTTTAATGTTTTTACTATTTTGTGTTGTAAACTGTAATAGTGTAATGCATATATTAAGTAAATTTGTAACATTGTTATTATTATTTTTGTATTTTTATTAATAAATTAAAATTTACAATAAGTATATCATCTATCTTGTTTATTAAGTATTAAATATAATTAATGTTTATACAAATTTGTAGCTATCGAAAATATTTGTCAAAGACCTAGAAAAATAATAATAAGTGAGATTCAATTATTAAACATAAATAACATTAGTCCAAATGTTATTAGAACAACTGTTTTTAAGGCAAAATTAATGATTTTGGAGTTTCCCTAAGAATGACAACAAATGATATTTCTGCATTACGAAGAAGTGTATACTGTGCTCGTTATCAGATTTTACCAATGAATCCAACATGTATAGTTAATATTCATAGTACTGTAAGTTCAGTTAATACTTTGACGACTAATGATGAAGAATTTTTGTTAGCGAATGATGACATTTCTAATATTATAATATTTTCCTACAATACCAATTTAAAAATGTTATGTAAATGTGAAATAATCTATGTTGACAGCACATTTTAATATTGACCTTCTTTATTTACCCAATTATTTACAATACATGGATTAGTTAATACGTATTATATACTTTTAGTTTTTTATTTACTAAGAGATAAAAAGATTAAATCATATAAGGAAGCATTATTTCAAGTTGTGCAAAAATGTTTAAATTTAAATTTAATATTCATATTAATTAATATTTTATATTATAATTTATTAATACTTATGGATGTAATTTTTTAAAACTTGAAATATACTCGTATTATAATTTATATTTTTTGTGACACTTTTAAATGTTTAAAAATGACGATATGTATTTTTTCAAAACTCTATCGAGACAATATTTGACTTATCCTTGTTTTTTAATTTATAAATAGTTAAATTGAATGGACATATTTTAATATGAAATTATGCAATACTTTAAAAACTCTAATATAATTGTACCTATATATA